CCACGCACTGCACCCCCACTGAAAAAAAATAATACATAAAATATACACACCATACGCACACGCACCCACGCACGCACGCTCGCACACACACACACACACACGCACGGACGCACGGACACACAAACAAGCATGCACGGAAAAAAAACACAAACACACACACACACGCACACACACACACACACACACACACGCACGCACACGTATGCACAGGCACGTGGTTGCGCTCACGTGGGGTCAGCGCCATAGTCGAGCAAGAACTGCACCATGTCCTTGTGTCCCCACATGCACGCCCTGTGTATCGCCGCGTATCCCTGCGGCCCTTTTGTGTTGATGTTCATGTTCCGCTGCAGAAGCACCTCCATCACATCCTGGCGGTTGTGAATGGCAGCCAGCTCCAACGGGTGTCTTTGGTATCTGCAGAGGTTAACAGGCATGGGGTGCGGGAGGAGGTGTGAGGTGCGATGATAAGTCCAGGGTCGAGGAGGGGACACCAACCAAGGAACAGCGACCAAGACATACACTCACATAAACGCGTAAAAGTACACGCACATACAATTTCACACACACACACAACACACACACACACATTACCTGTCGAGCGCGGCAGCCTGGTTGGGGCTGCTGGTGAGTATATCTGCGATATCCTGCAGTGGGGCGCCTTTGACAAGGGCTTCCGCAATGTTGCAGTCCAGCTTCCGCGACAGCGGGCTGTCAAGGGAGGCGGAAGGCGGGTCACGTGATGCACAGCAGTCATGTGAGAATGGAGCATCTCTGGCATGTCGTAATGTCAACCAGCCCAACACACTCACTCACTCACTCACTCACTCACTCACTCACTCACTCACTCACTCACTCACTCACTCACTCACTCACTCACTCACCCACTCACTCACTCACTCACTCACTCACTCACGCGCACACTCACTCACTCACTCACTCACGCGCACACTCACTCACTCGCACACACACACACACACTCATTCACTCACTCACTCACTCACTCACTCACTCACTCACTCACTCACTCACTCACTCACTCACTCACTCACAGTTGTGGGGATGGGGATCGCCGTGCAGATCCCCTTGATTTCGGAACGGCAAACGACCGCCGCTGTCAGTGCACAAGCAAGTGTGCGTGAGAGAGTGGGAGAGTGAGAGAGGGGCACTGCTTTGTAGGAGATAGGAAAAGAGTACCAGGAAGGGCAGCATCCACGTTCCCAGCCACAACCACGCGAAGCACAGACTCGCCAAGCAAGCCAAGCAAACCAAGAGCCAAGCAGGACCACACAGCACTCACGGATGCCCTTCGTTCCGCCATCATCGCATTCGTGCTTGACGACAGGCACAACAAATGCACTTTATGTTGTCGTAAACCGCCGCTCATCGCCAACGTTGCTGAGTTGTTTGTTGGCAGCGGCAGCACAACACACAGCCTGCGACGTGAATGAGCTTGGGAGAAGGGGAACGTCGTTGAAGGGCTGGCTGGTGTACATAGACCGGACTGCACGCACGAGAATAAGAGGGGTGTGGTGTAGACAGTACATACGACGTCCTAGGAGTAGCAGAACAACCCGCGATGGAGACGCCAGAACGGTCATCAATGTGCGTGGATTGACATGATGTGCGTCTTTGGCACCCGCACACACGCACACACACACACACACACACACGCACGCACACAGACACACACACATGATTGTAACTAACACATGCTTTGGGCATTTTACCTAATGCAGATCGAGCACCCCGCAGCACTTTGGACTGCTCAGCATCAACAGCGGCTCGGCATGGGCTGCAGAAGATGACTTGGACCGCGCCAACGCCAGGTACATGCTGTGGGTGTGTCTGTGTGTGTGTGTGTGTGTCTGTGTCTGTGTCTGTGTGTGATAACTGCATGCTGCGTGCACACCGTACCTCATCCTGCTTGTCTTGCCATTTCGCGAACTCAACGCCGCCTCACCTACAGGCTGGTGGAGCGCATGTTTGAGGTCATTGACCGCATCCTATACCGCCGCCCTCTCCTGCCCGAAGAGTGAGTTGGACGAGATGCTTTGGAAGTGTCTGTCTTTCTGTCTGTCTGTTCCTATGTCTGTCTATCGACTCGATGACACCATGTGGAGTACGCTGCTGCTTGAATGGCGTGTGTATGAGCTGACAACGTGTCTCACTTTCGTTGGCGGTCGCCCATCTGCTTTATCCTCGCAGCAAATCATATGTAACGGCAGCTGTGAGACGGGAGTGCGAGGTGTGGCGCAGCGCATACCTGCACATGGAAGCGCGCGGCAACAACCTCGCCCCAGATGTGGAATCAGGCGTCGAGGTGCGTGCGTGTCTGTCTGTGTGTGTCTGCGAGAGAGTGTGTGTGTGGATGTCTGTCTGTCTGTCTGTCTGTCTGTCTGTCTACCTGTCTACCTGTCTGTGTCTGTCTACCTGTCTGTCTGTCTGCCCGTCTCCACATGTGTTTGCGTGACTGCACTTGCCGCTGTGCTGCCGAAGCTTCTCCCATGGATGGAGGTGTTTAATACTGCACCACGCATCACTTGCACCCCACGTGCCTGCAGGCATTCGTGCCAGCGTCAGATGCAGACTTCCGACCCATCTCGCCGCTGCACGTGCCCTCGTCCTCTCGCAATGCTCAAGCAGACGTCGACGGTGTGCACGAGGACAAACGACAACAGGGGCACCACAGCACTGGCAACACCGCCACCTTGGACCTGTGCGTCGAAGGTGAGTTGTGTGTGTGTCTGTGTCTGTGTTTGTCTGTGTGTGTATCTGCGCACAGTCGAGAACACTGTGGTTCACTGATTCATTCTACCCACCACCTCCATCCCAAACCACCATACCCCGCCCCCCCCCCCAAAAAAAAAAAACAATAACCAGGCACGTCCGCCACTGCCACCGCCACCGCTGAGGAACGTCACGGCCACAGTAATTATCTTCAGCGCGTCGCCCTTCACCCAGCAGACGATATCCAGGTGCAGCCCTCGTTACTGTTGTTGCTCTGGTGGTGGTGGATGATGTATTGTGTCTATGTGTGTGTGTGTGTATGTGTGTGTGCGCGCGCGCGTCTGTCTGTGTGTCTGTCTGTCATATTTTTGCCCGCGTGTACCTTCTCCGCATATCTTCATCATCTTAACCGTCTCAATCACGACCCACTCAACACCATATGTGTGTGTGTGTGTGCAGGTGGACGAGACGTTCAGCACGGTGTACCGCCCGATTCGCCGCAACGTCTCATCGTCGGATATGAGCACTGACCTCGGCGGTAAGATTCCGCACAGTGATGATAATGATATAATGATGATGGTGGTGGTGGTGGTGGTGGTGGTGGTGGTGGTGGTGGTGGTGGTGGAGGTGCTGCTGTTGGAGGTGATGGTGATTGTCATCATCATCATCATCATCATCATCATCATCATCATCATCATCATCATCATCATCATCATCATCGTCGTCGTCGTCTCTTCCGCATCTGCATATCTTTTGCGCTTTCGAATGGCTCACGCAGTACACTGTGACACACGCCCCTGACGTGCGCATGTGCAGACATATCCCCCTGGCCAACGACATCCCCCATCGCTGCTGAGGTTGGTGGCCATGTGGTCAATGGTGATGACAACGCTTCTCACGTGGAAACGCGTGCAGTCACCCGATATCTTGTCACTATCCACACTTCACACACTCCAACAACCTCTTACATCACACCAGCCGTACCAACCATCCCTCACCTCATCAATACACCAACCAACAACAATGCACACGCGCGCGCGCCCTCTCCTTTCATCAGTTGACTTCGTCAGGACTGCCACCACTCCGCACCACCAACGTGGAGGCGATTGAATGCCCACAGGTGCATATGGCATGATGCATTGCCGTGCATACGTGACATGACGGGTTGTTGTTCTCATGTGCATACTTCTGTGTTTCTTCCTCCCTCCCTCCCTGACTCTCTGTCCATCTGCGATTGTGCACTCGAACACTCAAACACTCAAACACTCAAACCTTCAGCCCTCTCTCATCCCTTCCATCTTCCTCACACCGCAACGACACCACCACCCACCGCCCCACCGCAATCACCACACCACTGCACAGCGTGTTGTTGATGAGGAGGTGATTGCTGCCGACGGCGGGTACGAGGAGGTGTTTGCCATCGACCCGGCGCCCAACACCCCGCACTCCCTCATCAGCACCACCACCCACCACCACCACGACGACGGTACTGGTGGTGGTGGTGAGGACTACGACGGTGATGTTAGTACTGGTGATCACCCCCACGATCCTCAATTGGAACAACAGCGATTTGCACAGGAGTGCGCAAGACAACAGGTGTGTGTCTGTGTCTGTGTCTGTGTCTGTGTGTCTGTGTGTCTGTGTGTGAACGTTTGCATGTGTGCATGTGTGCGATGTTGTCTTTCTGTTTCGCTTGCTCACTGTCACCACCACCACCACCACCTCCGCCACCACCACCACCACTATCACTATCACCACCACCTGTTGCAGCTGTTTGATGACGTGTGGACAGAGGCGATACCAGTCATTGCCCCCGCGCTCGATTCGTTCCTGCAGTGCATTGAACGCATGCACCACCGCAGCTATGACAGCTATGGTGATGATGGTGGCGGTCGGTTTTGCAGTGGCACCTCGTCAGCTGAGGTACTCAGCTTTGATGACGAGGATGCTGACGATGACATGGACAGCTTTGTTGGGTACGGGCAGGAGCTGGACGGGTTTGCAACGAGCGAATTTGACGATGATGATGATGACGATGATGATGATGATGTGGCGACCGTGTATGGTGAGGATGATGGCAGTGGTGGTGTGGCGGTGAGCGTTGAACACGGCCGTGATGGGCACACGCATGTCATCGCAGAAGAAGAAGAAGACGAAGAAGAGCAGCAGTACCCCAGCGCTCACGAGGATGATGATGATGATGATGATGATGATGATGATGATGATGATGATGATGATGATGATGTGACAGAAGTGCCATCAGAGGACATGAGTCTTGTTGACGATGATGCCATGAGTGCGGACAGCGCGTCCGCCTCCACCGTCTTGCATAACGACAGTGCACGTGCTGACGACGCCGAGAGCGCTGTCGAGTACCGGAGCGATTTCGAAGAACTTGACGAAGACGGATGCGATAATGACGATAATGACGACAACGGCAACAGTGTCAGTGTCAGCGGTGGTGGCGTTGGTGGTAGTGATGATAGTGCTGGTCAGGGAAAAAGCAAAAGCACTGAGCACCAAGATGGCATGGGTCACGATGGGTCCACATCAGCACATGCAGGCGGTGCCACACCGCACGCGAGATTACACCGCTCCTCCTCGCAGTCATCGTCATCGTCGTCATCCCTGTCACTCATGAACGGCCGTACGCTGCCCCAGCGGCGACAACAACAACAACAACAACAACAACAACAACAACAACAACAAGAGGGTGTGTCTGGCGCTGCGGTGTTGTCGATGATGCTTGCGTTGCCTGCAGGCACTACCAACCTGTCTGTCGCCGTCTCGGACACAGACACGTGTGCGAGCGAGAGCGAGGTTGGGGACGCAAGCGGGTACGATGAAGATCGCGCTGCTGGTGGAAATGAGACTACGCAGCGAGGGAGGCGACGACGAAAACGACACACGCGCTTTGCACACGGAACGAAACAGAGCCCAGACCAGCGGCACCAGCACCAACAACAGCATCAGCAGCATCATTCGCGATCACCAAGGCGAGGGACGGCAGCATCGGGAACAGCGACGAGCACCACATCACCATCGGGCGTTACGATGGACAGCAACAAGCTCTCCCCTTCAACCTCAACAACAGCGCCAACAACAGATGGTGGTGGTGGTGGTGGTGTGATTGGGCGATTCAGAGGACGATCACGCTCATCCACCATTGGCTCTGAAGGGTCTGATGATAGCCGTCCCCGACACGATGAACTGCTGGAAGGGATTGTGGTGCGCGGCGTTGCTGCTGGACACGAGGGGCCACCCCCAACACGCCAACAGCAGTACAAACAGCAACAGCAGCAGCAGCAGCAACAGGCAAGGCGTGAGTATGGTGCGGGTGAAGTGGGCGATAATGTGGACGGGTGGGGTGCGAGAGCTGAGCGGAAGCGACAACAGAGCGAGCAGACAGACGATGGTGATGACGATGATGATGACTTTGATCACGATGATGACGACGGTGGTCGTGGTGGTGATGACGGCTCGCTGTCACCGCCACCGCCGGCCGTGTATTCGACAACGCTCCCCGTGAGCGATGATGAAGGCGATGACATTGGCCCATTGCAGGCGCGGGGCAGCAAAGGCGAGATGGTCGGTGGCGGTGGGCGACGGAAGCCACGCATGTCGTACCCAACGTTTGGAGTGAACATGCCAGGACTGCTGGACACACACACGGAGGGCGAACATGAGGAGCAGCAACATGGTGCGATTGGTGGCGATGGTGGTGGTGGTGATGGTTGTCGCTGTTGTTGTTGGTGGTGGTGGTGGTGGTGATGGTGGTGGTTGTCGCTGTTGATGGTGGCTGCTTACTTCCTTGATTGTTTGTTTGCTTGCTTGCTTGCTTGCTTGCTTGCTTGTCTGTTTCGTTTCGTTTCGTTTTGCTTGTCGCTTTTAAGATCTCTTTCGCTGCCACCACCCCAATCGCCTCTCCCTCCAATATGCTCATCATGCACCCATCATCCCCCGCGCCTCACCGCGCCCATCATGTTGTGCTATCAGGTGCGCTGCTTCGTGGCGCCACCGTCATCAGCCTCGATGGCACCTCCCTCGGGTACAGTCAGCACATCCGACGACGTGTGTGTGTGTGTGTGTGTGTGTGTGTGTGTGTGTGTGTGTGTGTGTGTGTGTGTGTGTGTGTGTGTGTGTGTGTGTGTGTGTGTGTGTGTGTGCGTGTGTGTCTGTGTCTGTGTGTGTGTGTGTGTGCGTGTTAGGGAGGACTGGTTGAATGAATTTAACTGAATATGAATGAAATAAATGCCAAGTTGCCCCACAGTTCGAAATTGGTGAATCTCTTTGTTGGGACCATGCAGTGCACAGTTTTATGAACACGCGAAGAAGAAGGTTACAACATCTCAAAACAACAACTACCTGGCTGGGAAACACGTGACTAACTCTAAAACAAATGCGGACACACAGACACACACGCCATGTTGCGCAAGACCAGTCAGTGACAGTTGGAGCACATGACGGCAGCGGTAGCGCACGGCCTATGACGTGATCATGCGCTGGTAGCACGATTCACAGACCTGCCAGGCAAGTACACCCGTCAGATGGTGGAGGCAAAGCATTGAATGAGAACACGACTTGATCAAGACAGGCTGGTGTCCATGATACACACACACACGCACGCACACGCACATAAACGCAAGCACACACATATACACAAACGCACAAACGCACAATAACCCACTTTAACACAAACAAATTCGCGAACAGGGTGTGACTCACCCGCTGTTTGCCCTTGAAGCCGTGCTGCGGAAGCTCCATCCAGCGATTGGAACACGTGTGGCAGAACACGTGCCCGCACGCGCGGCAATGGTGCCTGCAAGCACACAATATGTAACCGACTCAACGCCAGGTGAGGGCATTGACAGTGGAGGAAAAGAGTGCAAGGCTTGATGGATATCCATGCAGAACAACAACAATGGGTGACGCTACGTTTCATTTCACTACGCAAGCCACATCGCATCACACACTGTGCACGCACACACGCACACGCGCTCCCGAGGATATGTCCGCACCTGCGACGGAATACGGTGAAGCCGAGGCCGCAGTCCTTGCACACACGCGCGTGCTTGTCATCAACCCACATGAACGTCGTGGGCTCCTCCTGGTGGAGGTGAGGATGTAGGATGACGGCGCGGAAGCACAAAATCGCGTGTATGTGCGCACGCATGTGAGACTTTGCTTGGTGTGAAGTGTGCGCGTGCGAGTGAAAACGATCAAAGATGCATGTGCGTTGGTTTCAACGCACAGATTTTTCTGGACCCACACGC